AAAAAAAAAAAAAAAAAAAAGGTGAATCACTAGTCTTCCTTTATTTAAGAATAATATCTATATATTTATATATATTTAGAGCCTCCCCTGCTAACAGTGAGGCACCGGCAGTAGGCGGGAGGGATGGAGGGGAGAACAGCGGGTAGGCCGTGGAGCCTCCCAGACGAGCCGTCCCAGGACCACCGTTGCCTTTTCTGCAGCTGCGGACCGACTGGCCGACTGTGAGAAATGGGCAGGTTTTCCACGGATGGCGGGGTGGCTTCAGAGAACTGTACCGAAGGCAGCTCCCGGGAAGGCTTGGCCCCACGCGGGGAGTGCTGTGCTGGAAGGGTGTTGACTGTTAGCGAGAACTCTTTGCGGATGGTCACATTCTCAAAAGCAAGAAGGATGGGGACCCTGCGAAACCGAGGATGAATCCCAACTCGTACTGCTAAGGAGCAATCTCGGGGCCACGACCATACAGCAACTCTTTTGTTCCAAAACAAGTTTTCTGAAACCAGAATGAGATACAAAACTCAATTATATTTTAGTGGTTGGATGTCAAAATCCAGTGCATTGGAGGCTGATTGGTAAAATGAAGAATTGCGTGACGGTAACATGCTTGCTGTACTTACAGTTTTAGGTATACTATCAACTCAATAAGAGACTTTTCCATATTTGTGTAATATCAGGAGGGTTAATCGTTCACAGGAATGCTCAAGCTGTTATTCTAGGGGCCCTGCAGGCTGCTGCAGAGTCTCTGTCTAGGAAATGAGGTTGGCCTGTCTGACCTGTGCATTTCTTCTGAATACATACAGATCTACTAAAAGACCTGTTTTAGAAGAAACTCACAGGAGTTGTTTTGTGAGCAGTTACACCCCTGTGCTAACCGTGCGGGCTCCCGCCCCACAGGAAGAGGTGCTTGAGCTTCGGCGTTACCTGGGTGGCTTGTTGAAGTCCCCAGTGACAATCCTGAAACCCAGAGGGCAGATGGGCAGGTGCATTGTCCAGAGTCGGCCAGAGCCACTCGCTCGTCTCCATTTGGATTCAGATGCAGTGACGTCGGGCGGGCGCCTTCACTTCTCTGAGCTTCGGCTTCGTCATCGTGACGGGGAGAGTAGTGCCTGTCTCTGCGGCTTGAGGCTGCAGGGCGACTATTCATGAGGAGTTATGAATAATACTGTTGCATACCGATGCTTCAGTCGTCTCTCCCCACCCTGGCGTCCCGTGAGGATGTTCCTTGTTCTGTGGTTTTACCCAGTTTGACTCAAACAACAGACCTTTGTTCATTATGCTGCCGTCACAGCGACACTTGAGTTACTTTTTAAAAAAAAAAATTATTTATTGATTTCAGAGAGGAAGGAAGAGGGAGAGAGAGAAATGGAAACATCAGTGATGAGAGTCATTGATCGGCCGCCTCCTGCACACCCCCTGCTGGGGATTGAGCCTGAAACCCAGGCCTGTGCCCTGACGGGGACTCGAACTGAGATCTCCTGGATCCTAGGTTGGTGCTCGGCTGCTGAGCCACGCCAGCTGGGCGAGTTACATTTCTTTATTTGGACTTACTCCACTGTATTTTTTTTTTGAGAGATCCTCACAAATGGGTTCTTAACGTAAAAAATGTGGGAATGTCAAAGAGGGGTTGCTCAACTAAAACAAATGAAAACGGAATCTGGGAAACAGCCGAGGCAAAGTGAAAATTAATGATGCTTAATATTTTTGCAAGGAAAGAGAACGTTTTACTTTGCCAGGGACTTTTGCCCACAATGTGCCCTCTACGCAGTAATCATCTGCCTTTCATTGTGCAGTATTAATAAATGACAGTTATGTTTAGTCATTGAGAAACTGTACAAGGAAGATTTTTATGCTTCGAGTTACACTGCAAGGGTAGACCTGAAATATCTATTTAAGAAAATTATATGTAAAATGGGATTGAGTACAATCCGAAAATGAATCATAACTTAATTTTACCAGCCTTGTTATGTTCCTGTCTGCATATTCTGCCTATTTTTTGTGAAAATTATAGGTATATACCTTCTACATGCTTTTGCATAGCTTCTCTTATAAGATACAATTTTAGAGACTGAGTTTCTGTAAAGTAAGGATAATAATACCTACATTCTATGGCTGTTGGAAGGGTTAACTGAGATACTATGTGCTGCTTAATAGCAGCATGGCCTGTGGCAAGTGCTCTGTAAAAGGCTGCCCTGTGTTATTTTCACTTAGCCCAGACACCAGTGTTTTGGTTATTGCTCAATCCCTAGGCCAGTGATTAGCAATATTATCATTTCAAATAATAATTTTGATTTTCTCTAAATCAGCAGGTTAATATTTATACCAATACTGCTCTTCTAATACTTCTGATAGATTTATACCCGTCAGTTGTTCACTTCATCTCCATTGTCAGTCCCCCAACACTCACAGAACGTCTAATAATATGAATTGGGACGCCAAAAACCTAAGTGGTCTATGTGGGAAATTCCCCTAAATCCTTAATTCCCTGAAATAGGGCCTAACGCATATTAAACACTTAATAAGTGTTGGTAGTTGAATGAATTAATGTCGCTAATGTTTTTTTCCAAGTCTGTGGTTTACCTTTTAGTCTTATTTATTATGTTTTGATATACAGAAAGGTTGAATTTTAATTTAGACAAATCAAAAATTTTCCTTGTTTTGTTAAACTACTTTACATCTTAGGGAGTCTTTCACCTCTCAGAGATCAGATAAATATTGGCCTATATTTTCATCTAGATTTTTAAAAATATTTTTATTGATTTTTAAAGAGAGAGGAAGGGAAAGGGAGAGAGAAACATTGATTGGTTGCCTCCTGCATATGCCCTGACTGAGAATCGAACCAGCAACCTTTCTTTGCACGGGACGACACCCAACCAACTGAGCTACAGTGGCCAGGGCTAGTGATTTTTTTTTTTTTCACATTTAACTCTCATATATCTAGGTCAAGAGCTAAATGGAGAGTTGTAACATAATGTAGGTAGCAGTCCTTTATTCTTCACCCATCTTGCTGCCTTATTTAATTATATTGAATTTTATGTACTAGCATTTGAACTCTCCTTTCTGTTTCATTTATTTATTGTTGTCTTGTTTCGATTACACACTTTAAAAATGATAGCATTCTTAGTCAGAAATGCCAAAAAAGTTAGATTAATTCAGTGTAATAATTAGGACATGGCCTAAGTTGTTGTAACAGAGAGACTCCAAAATACAGAGGCTCAAATATAATTGAAGCTTATTTTATCTTTTTCTAAGGTGAAATCCAGAGCTGGAGAGGCAGCCTTCTCCAAAGAGTCTTTTGGGGACTCAGGCTCCTTCTGTCCAGTGGCCCTGCCAGCCCTGGGGCAATGCCCTGGTCTGTGTGGTTGAAGCTCTCTTGTCTCCATGTCCATGTTCCAGTCTGTGGGAAAGGGGCAGTGGAAGTCCTGGGAGGGCAGGCACCTTGGTCTTTGATCTGATGAACCAGAAGTGGCACATTCTACTTTTTCTCGCATCCCTTTAGTTGAGACTAAAACAAGTTGCCGCACCTACCTTCAAGAAAAGCTAGGGAAGCCCTGGCTGGTTTGTTCAGTGGTTAGAGCGTCGGCCCTCCAAAGGGTCTCGGCTTCGATTCCCAGTCAAGGGCACCATGGCTGGGTGGCAGGTTTGATCCCCGGCCCCGATTGGGACGTGTGTGGGAGGCAACCAGTCGATGTGTCTCTCTCACATTGATGTTTCTCTCTCTCCCCCTCTCTCCCTCCCTCCATTCTACTCTCTCTGAAAAGCAATGGAAAAAATATCCTTAGGTGAGGGTACACCAAAAAAAAGAGGAAGGCTGGGAAAATGGCATCAGACTGGGTGCATGTGGATTTGGCTAAACTTTGAGAGGGTCTATTAAGAAAAAGGAGGGTGGGCACCAAGGACAACTAATGCTCTTTGCCCCAGTCCAGTATTCTTAGTTACAAATAATCACATGTAACAGGAAAGTATTAATCATTTTTGCCTTGTGAAAAATCAACCTTTGGAAGTGTCAATAAAATACAAATATGTCCTGATTTTTGGTTTTAGATGGCCTACAGTAACCCATGTGCCAGGTAGCATTCTATGCCAGTCTTGAACAGGAAGTCACTGGACAGAAAACTCTTCCAAGATCATACCTGGGCTGTTGGAGTAATTTGGAAAGGAAGAAAAAAGAGTAGAAACCATGACAAAAGTAAATAGAGCTCGGTCCACCTCCCCTCCGGATGGAGGCTGGGGCTGGATGATAGTGGCTGGCTGTTTCCTTGTCACCATCTGTACCCGGGCAGTAACCAGGTAGGTGAGATTTTCTTCATGATTTATTAAGATGATCTGACTTGTCTTTTTTTCCTACATCTGCTTCATTCTATTTCTGAATCTGTCATTGTGAAAATATATATGTATTTGTATGGTGTGTGTGCATTTTCTTTGCTTAGATATCTTTTTCTTTGTAAGGAATGTGATTTTCTGACAGTTAAAAGTCCTGGATTGTGGTCTCTTCTATAATATCTGACACATAAACCCAAAGTGTTAGGACATTTTTAAACCAAATATTGTGGCTAGTCCAGCCATTTGTGTTTGTAAGCAGCTCATCCCAGAAAGGAAAAACATATAAGGTTAAAATAGCTTTTGAAAACCTCTTGACTCACTAGATACTGAGCCCTTAGAAGCATAAAACCTTGAATTTAACTTAACATTATATTGTGAATTTATTTTCAAATCAAAACAGATCAAATCATTATTTTTAGTACCTAATATTTCATTTTATTGATACCCAAAATTTATTTAACTAGTCCTTTATCAGTGGACAAATAGTTTTGTTATAATATTTGGCTATTATAAATAGTTCTCCAGAATATCTCCTTTTATGTATATCTAATATTCATCATCATCATCATGTTCATCATCATCATCTATTTATTACCTTTGGCTAAAACCTAGAGGCGAGCCCTGGCCGAGTGGCTCAGTCGGCTGGAGCATCGTCCTGTACACCCAAAGGTCTCTGGTCCGATTCCCAGTCAGGGTACACGCCCAGGGTGCAGGTTCGACGCCCGGTATGGAGGGCAACTGATCGATGTTTCTCTCTCACATTGATGTTTCTCTCTCTCCCTCTCTGTCCCATCCTCTCTCTCTAAAATCAATAAATACATATTCTTGAGTGAAGATAAAAACCAACCAAACAAAAAGCCTAGAAGTGAAATTGCTGGGTGATGTATAACTCTTTATTGTCAAATTTTATCTTCTGTAACAACCTCGTACGTGTTACAGATGTTAGTTAAATATTAAGATTTTCGTAAGACCTCCCTACAGCAGTGATCGTCATATCCACTAGGCTTCAGCAGCCCCTCTAGTGGATGAACACTTGTTCTTACCCTTTAAAATGGCCCAGTGGTCAGCTTCTAATTTCCCACTTACTATGGTCCAGCAGAGTTCCACTGAAAACCAATTTAAACCCATGGAGACTGGAACTGCTGATGGAACCAAAACTTTAAGCTTTGATTCAAATTCGCGTTTATTCATTCTCCTTTTTCTTTTTCTTTTTTGTATAACGTGCTTGCACTGTATTTTTCAGATGTATTTCAATTTTCTTTGTGGAGTTCCAGACATACTTCACTCAGGATTATGCACAAACAGCATGGATCCATTCCATTGTAGACTGTGTGACCATGCTCTGCGGTAAGTATCACTTACCAGGGATAGACGTTACTGGCTACTGTCAAACCCTACATGACAATGACCTTCTACTGCCTTTGATTACCAATTTTTCTTAGTAGAAAGACTGCGGTAAAAATTGGCTGAGACTAAAAGAAAAGGTTGATCCTACATTCAGCCAAACCCAATCAGACATGCTCTTGGAATTAATGATCTTGCTGATGCCAGATGGAACAGGTAGTTAATAATTCAGGAGGACACGTACCCTTTGGTTCTTCTATATAAAGATAGGATGCTGGGCATCACAGGGCTTGCCCTGATGTTGGTAGCAGCTAACCACACAGTATATGCTTGGCTTCTTTCTTCCAAATTGCTGTGATCCCCTTTCTCCAGTCATATAAACAGTCCTTGGATAGCACCGTGAGCCATTTCTATATGATCTCCTTAAGTAAGTGCAAACAATATGTGTGTTGCATCTGAAGTCTGATTTTCATTCCATTTCCTTACCAAAGGTTTCAAACTTTGTCTCATAGATTTCATCATTTTTCATGCATAAATCTTCATTCTTAGAGAAGTATTGGGAAGGATAGGATGGTGTAATCCCGAGATGAACACATTCACTGGCTATAATTTCATTCAAGAAACCCCAAAGGTACTATATATAGAGTAAATAGAGTGTTCTCAAAATAAATGGAATCTCTCATTCCATATATATAGTAGAGGAAAAGTAACCTTGAGATTTTTTTAAAAATAATTTTCAAACCAAATTAATGGTTTAGAGATTTTCTGAAATTGAGTCAAATTGATATGATCTATTTGCAGGCTAGACCCATTTAATCCTTTCATTGAGATGAATCCTGAGTATTTTAGAAAACTGCTATCTCCAGGCTATGTATTTGTGGTAAAGGTAAATACTGTATTATTTAGTAACATAAATAATTCCATTCTAGGTACTAGTTCCTATTTATTTTTGGGGGGAAAAAGTATGTACTCAGGAATCAATTGAATTGTGCTGAAATGTATTTCCTTGGTTGGGAGGAATTTGAGAGCAATTCTAGGACTAAAAGCAGGTTTCATGAGAAGGCTAAATTTGCTTTTTCTACTGATGACACTGGAAGGTTTTAAGGGTTCAAAAAAATAATTTCTCTGGGTTTTCTAAACTGTCTATATATGTATATATGTTTTAAACCAGTGAGACAATCACTGGGTCTTCAGGGCCACATGATTAGTCACAGCAAGTCAAGAGAGCCGTGTTTGTCTTTCTCAAAGGACACAGGTGACTCATTTCCCTCACTGTTATCTTTTGGAGAAATTTATAATCCCCAAAAGAGGAATAAATGACCTTCAGTGACCAATATGGTCACAATGACCATGTAAGCTAAACATGAGCTAAAGCACGGTCATGTTAGCATGACCTTAAATATGCAGCATATTTAAATTCCATGCAAGGACTTGAGGCCTGTTGTACCCATCACCATATACCCACTTGCTCACCTGGCAACATTAGTTGAGTACAGAGTACAAACAAGAGGCTGCAGAATCACATCTAAAACACTCATTGGGGACATAACTGCCCTATAATGAACAGCAAAGTGAACATTTTTCATTGAATTTGCTGAAAATGTCGTCACTTTTCCAATAACCATAGCAGCAGCAGCAGCCTGGAAAATTAAACATATTTTCAGGAGGCTTGCTCATTCCTGCTCTCCAGGGGTTATATATATGGCCAGCCACTGTTTTAACTTGGCAGCAGGTGTCAGTCGGGCTGATGACTGATTCTATCCTGTACATTTGAATCAGGCCCAAATTTCAACCTGATCAATATGAAAATTATACCCCACTGATTCCCAGAGAACTGGCTCTTCTGATCTTGTTACCAGGAGTACTCGTGTCAGCATGACTTGCTCCTTAGAAAGAAATTCACATGCTCTCCTTAACCATCCTCCCTGCCATCAGTTTGGGAGACCCAAGAAGCCAGAGGAACAGGTTGATATCACCCTGAACTTGGTATCAAGTGCCCTGAGCTATTTCTTTGTGATCTTGGGCATGTCATATTCCTTTGGGCTTCAGTTTCCAATTGGCCTTTTCCAGCTTTAGTTAATATTCTATAACCCTGGAAATTGGCACAGTTCTGACACACTGCTAAACTACAAATAGAGTGAGGTCAACCAAAATGTCACCATGGGTGTGAGCATTTTCTTAGATTTTTCAGGGTTTCAATTTCTCATCCATGGGGTTTCCTAAAGCCTAAAACAGTGCCAGATTGTGACATCTGTCTGTCATCTCTCTCCTGGCCTTTTCCTGCATAACACTGCTGGCCACCTTGTGTTGCCCACTTTCCATCTTCACCAATTAACTGATATAATTATTGCTAATGGTGTATGATTGATACCGTATGAGAAATAAGACACATCCTTGTGCACGTGACATGTAGTTTGAATAGGGAGTTGATTCACTGCTTAAAAACACCCCACAGTCCTGGCATTATGACTATCATAAAGTGGAGAAGTAGAATAGTACTGGAATGAAGTCAGGACACTGATCCTAATTTCAGCTTTGCTGCTTATGCTCTGTGTCACCATGGGCAAGTCATGTTCTCTCTCCTTAGTTTCCAAATCTGTAGAATGAGTGTGCAGGGGGTGGGGGTAGGGGTTGATGCTTTAAAAGTCAGTCGTTCTCTTCTCTGCCAGTGGAACACCCCAGCCTTTTTACAGTGCCCTCAAGGCCTTTCTGTTGAACCTATTTATTATTGTTTTTGAAGCTCCACTTGGGAGTGTTGTCAGTAACCATTTATCCTGTCAAGTGGGAATCATGCTGGGTGGCTTGCTTGCATCTACTGGTCTTATCCTGGGCTCCTTTGCCACCAGTCTGAAGCATCTCTACCTCACTCTGGGAGTTCTTACAGGTAAGGGCAATTGTACCACTTGTCTCACCCCACCCCATTCAGAGATTGTCAAACACATCAACAGAGCAATAATTCATAAATTATTCACTTTGTTAGATGCATCATTTAGCTGATGTCTGCCTACCTAGCAGTTAAACAAAAGAGCTGGAAGTGCAGTTGATTGTACGACTGTAGTGAAAATGCATCACCACTTTAATTCAGCCGCATGATCAAAGGAACTGCTGGTTTTCCCTTTGGCAGCAGAGTATGGCTGAGATTTTATACTAAGAAGCCATGAGGTATTAACCAGGGCAACATAAATTTTCAGAAATGATCATTCTCCCCATATCCCTGACAAGACATTGAGATACTATCTGTAGCTGACTCGAATTGCCCCTGCTTTATAGTGAATATGACTGTCCAATAAATTGGGGGTTGCAGTTTAAAAAAGAAGGCCCCCTGCTGTGAATATTCTCCTACTACACATTCTCTCTCAATGTTTTAGAAGTATACCTTAGGGAATCATAATGAACCCCATAGAAAGAGAAGCAACGTATGTATTCCATAAGGGGCCTGGGTAGGACCAAGGTGGCGTCAGTTGGTAGGACTGGAGTAGCAGTTTGCCCCATCACCCAGAGGGGTGTGGAAAGTAGCACTAACTCATGCCCGGGCACTGTGCCACGGGGTAGCATGATCAGGCCAATAAATGATATAATTCAGAGGCTGTAAATCTAGCTCTGTCAGCTCAAAAAGGCACCAGTCCTATGTAACCCAAAGGGCCCAGCTGCTAGGATGCCCAGTCATCCCAGTTTACCAGGGACTGTCCTGGTCTTAGCACTGAGTCTCACATCTGGGACACTCCTCAGGTCAGGCCGGTTGGGATCACTGGCCACCCAGCACTGCAGATGGGAACAGGAGCGGAAGGGAGTTCTCCTTTTCCTTCCTTGACCTTAGATGCCATGAATTCCGGGTTTAAAGCTCTTCAGATTTTCTTGATTTAAAAGGAATAAGCACTGAAAATCTTTAAGAGGCTTTCTGCTGACTTCAAGGGATGTTTTCAGGTTACTGTGTGTCCATGTGATGTTCATGTATAAAATTGGCACAGTGTTTTCCAATCAGGTGAAATTACTCCAGAACTTTCATGGGGTTTATATGTGCTATTTACACCCAAATTCCATAGCAGTCCAGATTATCAGACTTGCGTCTTCATAGGCAGTCAAGATTGGAGGCAAATTTCTGGATAATTTAAGTTAAAAGGAGGTGTTGGGAAGAATACATTTCTTATGTCACCATTATCCTGATTTTTTAGTTAATTGAAATTTAGTTTTTGTCATCATTTTTTTAGTTCTTCGTTTCATTTTTTTTTAAAGAAGCCATATTTCCTTAAGATTTTCCTTCCCAAGAAGCAAGTCCTACATATGCTATACTTTCCAAACTGTGGATGACCGGTGAGGGGAGACAGACTCCTTTTTAGCTTGGTGTTTTAAAGGGTTAACAGAGGGTCAGATTCTCTTTAAGGCAAGTGACTTCGTCCTGAGCTCTTTCCTCTCATTGGTGTCCTTGGTATCCCAGCACTCACAGGGTTCTCCCTACCCCAGGTCTTGGATTTGCACTGTGCTACTCTCCAGCAATTGCCATGGTTGGCAAGTATTTCAGCAGACGGAAGGCCCTTGCTTACGGGATCGCGATGTCGGGGAGCGGCATTGGAACCTTCGTCCTGGCTCCTGTGGTTCAGCTCCTCATTGAACAGTTTTCCTGGCGGGGGGCATTACTCATCCTTGGGGGCTTCGTTTTGAATCTTTGTGTTTGCGGTGCCTTGATGCGGCCCATTACCCTTAAAGAGGCCCAGACAGCTCCGGAGCAGAACCATGTCTGCAGAACTCAGAAACAGGACTTGAAGCGGGCGTCTCCCTGTTCAGCTTTGACTAAAGAGTGGGTGCAGACCTGCCTCTGTTGCTCTTTGCAACAGGAATACAGTTTCTTCCTGATGCCGGACTTCATTGTTTTAGCCGTCTCTGTTCTGTTCATGGCTTACGGCTGCAGCCCTCTCTTCGTGTACTTGGTGCCTTATGCTTTGAGTGTTGGAGTGAGTCACCAGCAAGCTGCCTTCCTTATGTCCGTACTTGGGGTGATTGACATCGTTGGCAATATCACATTTGGATGGCTAACCGACAGAAGGTAAAATCTGTGAAACCACAATTGCTTCCCCATCAGGGGACTGTAAGTTTTGAGTTTCCCTCATCCCCTTTCCCTGTAGGATACCTAGGTCCAAATAATAGTAACAAGTTTGCAATGTCTGGAGGCAACTCCCGGGCTGGTTCTTCTCATCAGAGGTTGGCAGGCTTTTTCAGTGAAGGGACAGATAGTAAACCCCTTTGGCTGTGTGGGTCATATGATCACAACTACTACACTCATTCTTGTGCTTCAAACCTGCAGGTGTCTGAAGAATTACCAGTATGTTTGCTACCTCTTTGCCGTGGCACTAGATGGGCTCTGCTATCTCTGCCTCCCAATGCTTCAAAGTCTCCCGCTGCTCGTGCCTTTCTCGTGCACCTTTGGCTACTTTGATGGTGCCTATGTGACTTTGATCCCAGTAGTGACCGCAGAAATAGTGGGGACCACCTCTTTGTCGTCAGCACTCGGGGTGGTGTACTTTCTTCATGCAGTGCCGTACTTGGTGAGCCCACCCATTGCCGGTAAGTTTCCAGAGAACACCCCCAGCCGCCTCTTCTCTTTGCTGTATGGATGTGAAAACAGTGAACTCACACATAAAATGAGGGTGGGAGGGAAGCTGGGGAAGAGAGAGAAAGGGCTGCAGGAGCCACCAAAGCATCGTGATCTCAGCTCCACCCTTGTGTTACCATCTTCTAACCAAGTAGGGATCTCTGTGTCCTTGGAAAGACAGTGTTCCAAATTAGGGTCTTGGTTCCATTCCACACTAATGACGAGAGCAGTGGGACGGAGCGGCTGTTCAGGCTTATAAATTAAGTTGGGCACATTCACAGGGCAGGCTGGCGGGAGTACAGGCTTCTAATAGGAGGCGCGCGGTGAGGCTGAAACGGTACATCATGGTGAAGTGTCTCCGGTGCCAGCCAAAGGAGCTGGGGCTCTGTATTCTTTAGAGACTATGGATAGTGTTACAGTGTTTGGGCAAAGGAGTAATATGGGAAAGAGTATACTTTAGAAAAGGTGATCTAGCCATTGATCTGGTCATTCAGGGGAGAAGCAGTTAGGATTCCATTCTGATAGCTCAGGACAAACTGATAAAGGCCTAACCAAGGGCTGATGCGGCAGAATAAAATGAGCTCTGGGAGCAAGGAGGAAGTTTTGTAAACAAAACAAAACAACAAATCAACTAAATTTAGCATACAACGGTGAAGGAGAGAGAGAAGTCCAAAATTACTTAGAAAATAATGGCATGGTTAAAAGAAATAAGGAAGTTGGAGGAAAAAAAATAATGAATTTGTCTAGACATACTGAAATATATGAAATACTCAGTAAAGTGACCAATAGAGCTTTTTAAGGTTGAAATGTGAGCTTTAGAGGAAGGATCCACTTGATATACAGATTTGGGGGATTCATAAGATAAAGCATCTAGAATGTTTCGCAAACTGGAAAATGCTATAGAAATTTAAAGCATGATGAAATAAGTGAACTCAAATATTTAATGCTTGTGGACGCCAGCCTTGTGCTGGGCGCTGTTGCTGCAGCAGCGAACGCATCAGGACCTGTACCTCCTTCCTGGAGTATGTGGTCAAGCCCAGTGTCTCTCAGATTGAGGTCCAGGGACCACCTGCATTAGAATCCCCTGGCGGGTTCCTTGACCGTCCCTCTGTGATCTGAATCTTTGGGGGTGAGTTTCAGGAGTCTGAGTTCTCAGTCGGCTTTCTTGGGATGCTCATTCTCGCTCGATTGAGGCTAACCATTCCAGATTATTACCTGCCTAAATTAAAATCAAGAGAATGAAGGTCTCTGAAGATAGGCAAAAAGAAGTGAGCCAAACATTTGCCTAGAAGCAAAAGGCAGGATGGCTGCTTTAGCTGCTGTTGTGAGTAGATCGTTTCGGGTTATTTCCAAGCCCCAGCAAGTGCTAAAGCAGTAGACAAGGGCAAACTGTGACTGTTTGATGGCTGCAGATGAAAATTCCTGGTCAGTTTAAACTCCATGATGTACGACCTTATGTTTAGTGCTTCCTATATGAAAACTGCCCCCAAAATGTTCCTCCCTCCCTCCTTTATAGCCAGTTTTTGTTTGCTCACCTTTAGGAGTAGTGTAATTCTGTTAAAAAGTCGTGGGACATAAAATGAAATTGGGATTCCTGGATCCTTTTTTTCAGTTACGGCCTTTATTTGGCAAATGAGACATTGTACTCACAGCCAAGTATTAGATCAGTGTGTGAGTTTTTATTGTAATACTTCTTTTATTTAATTACCTGTAAAATGACAACTCTCCACTCAGTCTCTTCTGTTTGGTACAGAATGCACAAGTAAATCACAAGATAACTAGAATATCTGAGAGTACTTTGGACTGCAGGAAAGTTTGTGGGGCTTATAACAATTTCTACATGCCATTTTTGATTAATGAATTTGAAGTGGATGAGAGATGACACCATATACTTCTCTGGTAGATTTTCTTGGTGTACGAGTAAAGTTTGGAGGAATTTAACTTTTTAATTGCAAAATAATTTCCTGCCAAAGTCTGATTTTACCCCATTGATTCTCTGATCACTGTGGCTCATGTTTTGTATAATATATGCCCTGGTTCTCCTCAAAATTTAGAGCTGGAATAGATGTTGAGATTAACCTGATGTAACAAGAGATAAGGGGGGGTAGCTGTGATAGCAGAATTATGCTTTCTGAAATTTGCATTTGCACCTTCTAAAATGGCCTAAAGTTCTGGTTTTCAAATTGGATGGGGTACAATGACAGGATCCAATTGAAAATTTGGATTCTGCTTTATCCAGAAACATGTATTGAAGACAGACAGTATATGGGTGCTGGAAATACTACTAGCATTTTGTATGATTATTTTCTCTTAACACCCTACATAGTTGCTCCCAACAATCATTTGAATGATGCTACATTTATCTTTCTACGATATTTCATGGGGTTAATAATAAGTAATATCTATTTTGTGAGTACTAAGAATGTGACACTATTCCAGGCACTTTACATAGTAACAAAAATCCATTTTAGAAGTTTCCCTAGAAAACAGAATGCATTTTTCAGTTGCTGCACAATATTTTTAGGATATCTGCTTTTTGTGTCAAGATTGTAATGGTGGTGCTAGCAATCTGTTGTTACTGTCCTTATAAATTATTAGATTTCAGTTGGTACGTAATTGAATTTTCAACTCAACAATATGGTTTTGCTGTTGCTTGTTACAGGATGGCTGGTAGACACGACTGGCAGCTACACAGCAGCATTTCTTCTCTGCGGATTTTCAATGATATTTAGTTCTGTGTTGCTTGGCTTTGCTAGACTTGTAAAGAAGATGAAAAAAACCCAGCTGCGGTTCCTTGCCAGAGAATCTGATCCCAAGCTGCAGCTATGGACCAATGGATCGGTGGCTTATTCTGTAGCAAGTGAATTGGATCAGAAAGATGGGGAATCTGTGGCTATTGCAATGCCTGGTTACAACCCCACATGACCAATGGCCTTGAGCCTGGGAACCTGCAGGGCCGAGAGAGGTGGGACCACTGGATTGTACATGTTTCTAAAGCATTTTATTTTGGCAGGAGCATCGCCTTCCAAGTGAATTATTGTTGTTTTGTTAACATATTTATAGGGGGAAATAGCAAATTAACAAAGCAAGCTAGACTGGCTCAGAGTTTCCACATTTGGGATTTGTACTCACAGTTGAACTCCCATCTTTTGGGCAGTGAGCATTACTCCATGAGAATGTTAGAACATAGCTGATATAATTAGCTGTAATTAGGGGTAATTTCAAGGCATGACCAAAGCAGATGACACTAGGCAGCAGCTTTGTCTCAAACTCTCTGCCCCTCCATCTTCCTTCTTCAATCAGAAGGTAAAGGGAAACACTGACATGTAGGTTTGCTTACTTTATGTTGTTTGGGGGGAGGGGTTCAGCTTAGTGGAAGGTGAAGATGCCAAACCTTTTTCATAGTGGAGCTTCTTATTAGGGTTTTAAACAGGATTGTTGAAGGATACTTTGGATTCTTCAAAAGACAATGATTAATACAGAACTAAAGTGACTGTCTCTTCCTCCACCCCCTTTACTCCTTCAACTAGCCCTTGCCTTTGGCAATGGGTGGGCACCACTTTGAGAATCCAAAGAATCATACAATGCCATGGTTGGGAATGATCTTAAGGGTGGCTGGTAAGACCTATTTGAAATTTTGCACTGGAAACTGAAAGCTTTTTACCTAAGACTGCTGCCCGGGCTCTGTCATTATCACATACAATAGTTACTTTAAATTTAGCAGAACACACCAAGTTGCAAGGGCAATTTCTACCTGAAATGTTAACACCAACACTTCCCATTTTTTCCCTCTTGGAAAAAAAGCTCTTATTTATAAATTGAGCTTATCCTGTTAGGAATGGAAAAATATTGGCAGTATTCCAACTGGCCAGGAATTGAATTTTTGAATCAGCAGGTCTCTGTTGAGAGTTTTCTTTTCAGATCACATTTAGGTTCATCATTATCCAAAACAGGACTTGGGGGTTTTGCCTGAAAAATATTCTAGAGATAATCTGAAGGTGATTCCTCTCTCCCTGCGTTACTTCCTGCTCAGTTGTCCACTACTTTTCATCTCCTCATGGACAATCATTAGAAACTTGATGGACATTTTCAGCTGAATGAAAAGGTGTCAGGGGTTAACCTCAGCATCATAGCACTCTCATAAACTATGGCTTTGTTTAAGGGGAGAGGGAGGAGATTAAGAAGGCTAGTGGTGTGATAGTTTACAATTTGTAGAACTCTTTCACATACGATTGGATTGGAATAGTTGACTGATTCCCAAGTACTCTACTTTCCAGTAGTTTGGGATAATTTCTGAGTCTTCAGATTGAAGAGGGAAGGCATGGGGAGAGAAGAGACGGCCAGGTTCCCCAGTCTGCTCTAACTATTTAAAATACATAGAATGATAATCATGAACCCCAAATTATGTTGCACCTGTAAATAGGGGCAGGTTATATGATTGAAAGTGGATTTTAATTATTGAACACATTTAAATCTGAACCTCATGGAAATATTTTGACCCAGAAGGCCATTTAATCCACTGTCCCCCAAGGTGCCTCACAAATGCCCTACCGGAGGTACTGAGAGAAAAAACACAACAGTGAGGAAGATTTTAGGCAGACTAAGCATGTTCAGCAAGTCTTTGTCCATAACTGGATTATTTCATAAAATTACACATTAATACATTGCTTTCAGAATGAAATACTGACTTGATTTGATGGGAGAAAACTGTAATATTTCATAGTTGTTTTTCAAAGAAATTTGAATGTTACTTGTTATCTTTTTAGAGAATTTAGTTTTGAATTTTGTCATAATTATTTTTCGAGTAATGTGTTTTCCCCTTTTTTATTTTGTTTTATTTTATTCCATCACCATTTATCCACCATATACCCTCTTCCACCCCCACCCCCCACAAGTCACCGCACTGTTGTCTGTGTCCATGAGTTCTTTTTTTGTTCTTTTTTGTAATTTTAAAACACTGTTTGGAAAATATCTGTAAAAAGTAAAAGTTAAAAATGAAATTATATGTGTTTAGAATAGCACTTTATACTAATTGTCATTTCTTGAACCTTCAAGTCTAAAGAGTTTTTGAAATACAAAGTTATTAATATTATATATTTTTTCCTAGTAATGAACATAGTAAAATTTTATTTATCTGGTCCTGAAATATAATTTTCCATAAGTATTCTAAATATTCATGAAAAATGAGCATAGAAATCAGAGCTTTTAAAAATTTGTATATTTGGGATATTTTGACTTTATACATGCATGAATTTGTATTTTATTTTCCTTTGGGGAGCAGCATTTTTAGAGAACCATTAGGAAAATGTCGATCTTAGAGACTACCATTATCATCTACACACAATTTTACTGTTAAGGTTCCATGTGCCTATAATGTTTATTCCAAATGGAGGGATTCATGGGAATGATGTGTTTTGTGGAATCAAGAACAAAATTGTGGTGGGATGATCCCAGATCTTAAATATTTCTTTATCTCACTGCAAGCTCTGCTCTGAAAGTGACTGAGTAGGAAAGCAAAGGAAACTAAGTGCTGTAGATACTTTTTCAGATTGTGATTTCTCTAATAGATCAGAAATTTATGTGAATATTTTCTTATTTCAAAAGCTTAATAAATGAATTTATAGTTGTATTTGGAGAAACATTTTTCCCCTGCACAAGGGGTTTGGATTGGATAGTGAGTGGGCCTCTCTGGGTAACACTAAGACGTACCTAGCATAAAAGATGTGGTAGCGCCTGGCTGGGGTAGCTCAGTGGTTGAGCATCGACTCATTAACCAGGTCACGGTTCGATTCCCGGTCAGGTCAGGGCATATGCCCAGGTTGTGGGCTCTAGGGGGCCTGCAGGAGGCAGCCAGTGATGAGGAGACTCGCATCCTTGATGTTTTTTTCTCTCTCTCCTCTTTCTGAAATCAATAAAAACCCTTAAAAAAAAAGATGTGGTAGCAATCAAATATTTTACAAAACCCAAAACCATTTATTGAATATTTCCAATGTGTTAGCTACTGTGCTGAGCACTTCCTATGCATTGTCTTATTTAATCCCCATAATACCCTACATTATCACCATTCTATAGGTGTAGAAACTGAGGCACCAGGTCCCACAGCTGGTGACTCAGTAGCCACTGCACTCCAGTACCTCGTGAAATCTTATAAAAGTTGGAAGCTGTCTGATGCTGGAGGCTGCATCTCTCCTGTCCACTCTGATCATTTCCTTATGTGGGTTTAAGAAGCCATTTGAAAATAATCCCTCTCTTGGGCAGATAAAATCCTTTGGATTATGCTTTAATCTTCCAATTAGTATAGATGGAAAGATTCTAGGTTGAAAATTTCCAAGAGTTTTCCCAAGAGTCTGGTTCTATCAAGACCACTATTTCCAGGCTAAGTGATTTAATTAGTGTCTGTTGATCCAGGTTTCTCTTTGGGAACATTTGTGTGGGGGGAGTAGAGAGAGAGTTGGGGAGCAACTTTGTCACAAAAGGGAGTTCCGCCTTCCACATGACCAAAGTCAGCTTTCTCAGTCAGGAGTTGAGTTCTTTCTGGAGTGCCTGCACCACTGCCCAGTCACGATGAAGATGGCAATGTCGACTTGGCACTCACCTTCCTGGTTCCAGTAGGTGTAATTCTGAAATTATTTATTGAAATGAAAGAGTGAAAAATGAAAGAGTGAATTCAAGGTAGATATCTGAGTTTCTCTCCTCAGACCTCAAAATTTGAGTCTTTTTAAAAAAAACCAACCTCTGCCAAACAAGATTTCTATACCTGTTTCCAAAGCTGCTACTTGATTGAAGCCTGATTGTAAAAAATGACACAATTGTGTTCAACCCAGACTGACAGGCTTGATTAAATAGCTCTTTTATGCCCAAATGGAGTACAAGGCCTGGGGGG